CATGTATTTTAAATAGTAATATAAAAATTTTTTTTTTTTTTTTTTTTTTGGTATTGTTCTGCCTGGGTATGATAATAAAAATTAAAAAGTATAAAAGTATTTATCAATTTATTAAGCATTTATCAAATCTGCCTCCAAAAGTATACATTTATGACAAATAAAATAGATGAATGTATGATTCATATCTAGATCTACGTCCATGAACTTTGTTGGTGGGCGAAATTTACAAAGCTATTTTTGGTCAGGCCTGAGAATTGCAAGGGTAAAGAGCAGGACGCTGCTTAGGCATTAGATTGGGCCGTTGTTGGGTAAATACTGCCATAGGAACACATCTGGAAATGATTAACCTAATGCCTACTTTGAAGTCATCTCTTTCAAGGCTTATTTACCATTCTCCATTGGACGTTACTCTTTCTCAGGCCACTTACCGGTTTGGGCACTGGATCCAGCGGGATGAATTCAAACTTGTAGAGGATGAGGGCCACAAACATATGCAATTCCATAACGGCGTACCACCTGTTGACACAATAAATAACAAGTGCTTATTGTTGTTTCTTTCATTTTCATGTCCTCTTTCTCATTAAGAAAATTTTCTAGATTCAAACTCATTGTACTGAAGTGCTCATCACTTCACAAGCCAGCTTGAATAGCACTATGTGTATTAGTATTCTGATGGAATATTGCATGCTGTCTAGCTGCCATTGCACCCTCCCTCGGGTGCTGCCGAACACTGGGAAAACTGTGATTTATATTGCAGGTAGAAAAGCAAAATGTGAATGAATGTCTTGTTTTGCGTTCAAATTCCAGGTGCATTCATAGCCACTGTGGCCTTGTTTGGAGGCGGATAGTGGAATTTTAGGTGAATTGAAGTGAAAGAATTAAGGCACAGAGAATAAAATGGTTCCTAGGTGAGACACAGCAAGGAATAATGGGAGGCAATAAAGGGAGGGCGAGAGATGCAAGTCATGTTTCTTGAAATAATCAGCCCAAATAACCTTGAGAGCCATGACTCATTCAGGGACACTGTATTAGTGACGCAAGTAGCCAATCTCCTAAAATAATCTAAATCACATTGGATTGAGGGAAAATGAAATACATTTTGCCACACTCAGTGTACTAATTTGTGACCATGTCCAGCTAAGAGATCTATACAAGCCTGAGTAATCATTACAAAGCCGCCTCATGACAATGTGACATTTGAATGCAAAGTTGATAGATGTGGATTGAATATTTCAGTGGCATTTGAAATTATTCTAGAGAGAATGTCATAGTCCACACGTTTATATGCATAATGGAGAATACATTTTATATATATTTTTATATTTGTTTAAATAATTCATTATTTGCTTTAATTAATTAATTAATGTATTATTTATTTGTAGCGTTGATAATTTTTTTATTATAAAAATTATTATTAACCCTCTGGTGCTGCTCACGGGGGAGTCAAAAACGAAACAATTTCAATGAATGAATGTACTTGATTTTAGTTCCATAATGTTTTTTTTTTATTAATAATTTGTGTTTTTAGAGGATTTTATGCTACTAAATATTTATGGAATAGTTATGATCCATTAATTACTTGGTAACCACTTTTTGAGCAAAGACCTGAAAATGAAATTTTCATGAATCTTGAATGCTTTGGAGCACAGACTTAAGTTTGCTCTCTTTTTAAAGAAGATGTGGCAGTTAATTCTGGAAAAGTTTAAAAAGTGAAACTAAAAATAGTTATAGAAGTTTGTTTATTATTGTGAAAAATGTACAAAAATACAATTTTTAATTTTTACTACTATTTTTTTTTTTCAAAACATGTTTTAAGTGCTTGAAAGCCTGTTGAAAATGATATTTTAGTAAGAGTTTGTTTCGGACAGTACCAAGTGTTTCCACTAGATGAAATTAACTTCCTATTCATTTCCATTGTGTTGTTCACATA